ACTACTGCATGTTTGCTGCAATGCCGCCAACCCTCCTGCGCAGCAGGGCGCTCGGGGCCGTGCGGGTAGACTTCTATGGGCTGGCGGCGGTCGAGCTCATCGTCGGCTCCGAGTTCACGCGCCGGGGGGAGGATATCTTGTGTGTGTGCTCGTGCACGAGGTGCACTTGCGCATGCTCGTGGCTCCAGGCCCGGGCATCCTCGGCCACTTGTGCGGCGCGGGGATCGACGTGCAGGAGCTCCCGGTACTCTGGTGGGAGGTGCTGCTGGAGCTGGCGCTGAGCACCAGGTCGCTTTCGGCGCGCCCGGGGGCGCTGGCCTGCCAGAGGTGCTTCGAGGCTGCTGGCGTCGCTGTGATTCGGCGCCCTGCGTCGGGTTTCCTGGCCGAGCGACGCTTGCCAGCTCAGCTCGCTTCCTGGAGGAGGCCGTGCCAGGTGAGGTTGAGGAGGATGAATGACGAGCTGGAGGGCGAGCGGGCGGGCTACGTCCAGGCTGCACCGAGCGAGGGGGAGATTCGTACGTGGCTCGGGGAACAGGCGCAAGCGCTCCCAGCGCTGGGCGAACGCCTTGACCTCCTGGAGATCTTCACGGGCGAGGCCAGGATCTCTTTCATCTCGATGGCTGAGCCGCCCCTCTGAGGGGCGGCTCAGCCATCGAGATTGGGCTCCAGCACGGTCATGACCTACGACGACGGCGGGATAGGAGCTTGCTGAAGGCTGTGGTGGCCAGATGCGATCCCTACGAGACGTGGATCACCTGGCCGTGCTCTGCCTTCTGCGCCTTCGTCGCCTTGAACGAGTCGCGTGGCGTTGACCTCCTCCCAGGTCAAGAAGGAGGGCGCGATCTTCCTCGCCTTGCCCAAGCAGATCATGGCAGAGCGCGTTGACAAGGGTCGGAGCCAGGGAATCCGTGGCTCTCGGCGGCGTGGAAGCAGCTTGAGACGCTGTTGGCGGGACCTTCCTGGCAACGAGTTCGCCTCGACCAGTGCGCGCTCAACCTCCGCAGCGCGGCAGGCGGGCTGCGCCTCGCGCCGACGAGGATCGCTGCCGCGTCCGACAACGTAGCCGAGGCCTTGAGCTTGCGCTGCCGGGCCGCTCGTGCGACCGAGCGCGCGCAGCGCGCGGCAGGGCATCAGCGCGGGGGGGGGGGGGGGGGGCATTTTTCCAGCACGACGAGGTAGGCATTCTCCCCGAGGTGGCCGGAGCCATGAGTGGGGAGTCCACGAGGGCGGGAGAGGTTACGAGAGGAGGAGGAGGAGGCGGCGAGGGGTCAGGACACCCAGGAGGGGAGTGCGAACCAGGAGGAACCCAGGCTCGAGGATATGGCGGCGGGGGCCTAGTACGTTTTTCTCCAAGAGCACTCGAAGTTCGACTCAGACAAGCTTGGCCAGTTGGTCGCCCTGGGCGACGCGGTGCTGGGGGGGCCCGGGTCGCTCGAGAAAGCCATTGGCTCTGCGAGGTGCTTTGTGGGAGAGGCGCGGCTACCATCTCAGGGGCATCTTCGACAATAATCTCGAGCCCCTGGTGGACGGGGCCCTCCTGGAGTACGCCCGGAAGGTGGCCGAGGAGGGGGTGCGTGCGAGGTTCAGAGGTGCGCCGTCGCGCCTTAAGGCCTTACCGCGCTCCAGTGCCAAGGGCCACCTGGACGCGGTCATGAGTGCGCTCTGGTGGGGCGCGGCCAAGGGGGGCGTCCTGCTATGCACTTAACGTTCACGAGCACCTGCTTAGTAGGGTGGTGAGCGCCTCGATGGCGAGGGTGCCCAAGCAGAACCTGGGCCGCGCCGTGAGCGACAGAGGCAGGCTGATCTGGGACGGCGCCGTCCCGAACGCGAACTGCCCAAAGGAGGGCCACCCGCCTGCAGACCAGCCGCGCCACGAGGACCTGGCGCGCATCATCCTGTGGTGGAAGGCCAGGCTGCCAAGGGTCAAGCTCTGCCTCGCCAAGGAGGACGTCAAGGACGCGTTCAGGTGGGTGGTGGTGCGCGAGATGGGCGCCTGCATCATCGGGGCTGACCTCGAGGGCGGCAAGTGGGGAGTGGCGGCTCTCATCGCAGCGGTCTACATGGTACTCCCGTTTAATTGGACGGGCAGTCCTGGGGGGTGGATGATACGGGCGTGGGTGGCAGAGTGTTACTACTCGGCCTATCGTCCGGCGGACGCGCGCTGGGACGACGCCGTCCCGTTCCTCCACAGCTCGTTCTGGATGGATGACCAGGTGCTGGTTGCGCCCGACATCGGCGCGAGGGCGGCCCAGAGCGGCGCGACCGCGCTGGGAGCAGGACACGCCTGGGCCCAGAGGCGGTCAACGTGGAGAAGGACCTGGAGGAGGGCGGCTGGGGGCCGAGAGGATCTGCTGGGGGTTGTTGTGTCGGACGACGGAAGGCGCCATTGAGATGCTGCGCCCGAAGATAGAGAGGGCAGCCTACCTATTGGCGGACGAGGCCTTGGACTACGGCCAGCAGAACATTCCCTGGAATAGAGATCGATCGCGGCAGCCAGGAGTACTGGAGCCTGGTCATGCCCGCCATGCGCTGCTTGGTGGGCGCCATTGATGCCCTCATGAGAGGACGTCCGAGGCGACTTTCTGGGCCGCGGGAGGGAGAGGACAAGGGGGCGTTGCTGTGGGCCGATTTCTGGCAGGCCGCTGGAGTTGGAGCTGCGCCTGGGCGAAGCAACGGCAGCGGCCTCGCAGGAGCCTGGGGCCAGCAGGTCACTCCCTGACACACTGCTGGAGGACTCGTTCCCAGACGTCAGCTCTACTCGGGCCGGGCTAGACCTTGACGCGGGGCCGCTCCGCCGAAGGCGTTGCGGCCGCCCGCAGTCATTCGATTGGTGGGGCCAGTGCCGCTGCAGACGATGGTTCTTGCATTGCTGCCGCACTTGCGAGTGGACGGGTGGTGAGAGGCATGGGCCGCGTTGCCATGCCGAGCACGGCTCGGGGGCGGTCGCCCGGGAGGAGGGCTCCGCGCCGGGCAGCGGGGGGGCGGGCAGCTCGTGCCGGCGCGGGGCTTGCGAGGCGCCAGAGGACGAGAATTGGGGAAGATGGGCGCCCAGAGGGCCCGCCCCAACCGAGGAGACGGCAGCGGCGGCGGCGGCTACGGCAGCAGAGGAGCAGACAGCATCCGCGGCAGCATCAGCCGGGCGTCCGTGCTCCGCCCCCAGCTGCCCCTACCTGGAGCACAGCGCCCCTGGCGGGCGATGTCGCCCAGGCAACTGTTGCGAGATGTGCGCGGGCAAGCACGCTGGCGAGGAGTGGGCTGTGGGAGGGTCAGCCATTGCAAGCATTGCGAGAAGGATGGACACGGCCTCTCTGCTGACCCACCTGGAGATGGAGCTCCCTCGGGCGTAGGAGGGGGCAAGCGCCGAGGCGGCCGTGAGAAGGAACGGCGGGGCGGCAGCAGTCCCGGGGAGGTGCGCCCACCGCCCGGTGGCTACCAGCAGCCGTCGGAGGAGGAGGAGGTTGCGCGGCAGAGACGCGAGGGAAGGGGGGCGAAGCGCGTGGCTGCGGCGGCCGTGGCAGAGCCGGCAGTAGCAGCAAGGCGGCGCGAGCATGAGGGCCAGCGACAGGGAGAGATGCCGGAGACGCGCAGGAATGAGGCGCCCGTCACCAGGCTGCGCGTGAGGACCCCTCCGGCTGGGATTAAGGTGGAACCTGGGTCGGGCGAGGAAGGCGTGGAGGTCGCGGCGCCCGCGGGCCCGGCCGAGAGCCACGTGTCCGAGCGCAAAGGTTGCTGCTCGCGCGATGAGCGCCGCGAGCCTGCGCCCGGGGGTTGCTGCTGGCTCGAGGCGCGGAGAGCGCGCCGCTGTTGGAGGGGTGGCGTGCGCGGGGTCCGACGGCCGCGAGGGGCGGCGCGATGGCCGAGGGGGTGGATCGGGGGGCAACTCGATGAGCGCCCCAAGGCCCCCCTCCCAAGGCGGGCGCAGCCGCGCGACCGCTCCATGGGGGGCCGGGCCGCCGAGGGGGTCGCGCGCAGCTGCCGGAGCCTGGCGAGACGCGTCCAGGCGCGGCCGGAGAACACAGCGGCCGCCGAGCGAGGTCGCAGCCCCGCGCCCGAGGCCCGAGGAGAGGACGAGCGCAGCAGGAGGAGGTCGAGGTCGGAGGGCCGCGGGCGCAGGGAGGCGGTGCGGTCGGCGCCCCGGCGCTCGGGCTGCAGGCGCCCAAGTGCCCCGGCGCGCGGGGCCCGCTCCAGGTTCTTGGCAGGAGAGAGCCTGGACAAGGGAGCAGGGAGGCTCCGGACTGTGAGCGGGACATCGACGGGGCAAACGGGGGAAGCGATCCGCAGCCCGAGGACAGCCTGGGCTGGCCCCCCGGGCATGCTCAACCGTTTTCTCGGCGGCAAGCAAGGGGTGGAAGTGAAAAGGAGACGGCCCTCTCAGAAGGCGGCGGGGCTTCCGAGAATTCTTCCAGCCTTTGAGCAGTTTTCCGTGTCTTCGGCGACAGGTCAGAAAAATGCCCGGGGACTTCCGAGCCGTCTAGGAGGGCCGGCACCTTCTCACTTCCCCCTGGGCTCGCCGCCACTCTTCGCCCTGGATCCATGGCGCGAAGTAGGAGGCCACGCGCGAACCCTACCCCCCTTCCCCACGATTTCTACGGGGGAACGTGGGTTTCCCGAGCGAGGTGAACCCCACCTCCCCCAGTCGAAATCGTAGGAAGGGGGGGTAGGGTTCGCATGTGGCCTCCTACAAACGGCCCTGGAAGGCCGAATTCGATGAAAAACCGTCCGGATTGAGCAAGTCATGTCGTCGGAGCTCAGGGGCGCCGCCGTCGCCGTCGCCGTCGCCGCCGTCGCCGTCACCGCCGCCGCCGCCGTCATTTATTGCGCAAAGATCGCCGTCGCCGCCGCCTTTGCCTTTGCCGTCGCCGTCGCCCTCGTTGTCGTCGTCGTCGTCGTCGTCGTCGTCGTCGTCGTCGTCGTCGTGGTGTTCGTCGTCGTCGTCGTCGTCGTCGTCGTCGTCGTCGTCGTGGTCGTCGTCGTCCGTGGCCGCGGTCGATGCCCGCGAGGTACCTTCCGTGTGCGGATGAAGTGCATCTGGGCCTTCCGGACGCACAATTCGCGCGAGGACGCCGAGCTGCACCTGCGCGGGGTCCCGGGCATCCGCATGCCTGGCGTCTTGGAGGTCGTCGAGGACGACGACGTCGGAAGCCGACGCCGACAACGACGACGGCTGACGGGTGACGGCGACGACGACGTCGACGGCTACGGCGACGGCGACTGCGGCGACGACGCCGACGGCGACGCCGACGCCGACGCCGACGGCGACGCCGACGCCGACGCCGACGCCGAGGCCGTCGCCATCGCCGACGCCGACGTCGACGCCGACGCCGCCGCCGCCGCCGCCGACGCCGACGCCGACGCCGACGCCGACGTCGACGACGATGACGACGCCGACGACGGCGACGACGACGACGACGATGACGACGATGGCGAAGGCGAGGGCGAAAACGACGACGACGGCGACGGTGGCGAAGACGACGCCGACGACGACGATGACGACGACGACGACGGCGACGGCGATAGCGACGGCGACGGCGACGGCGACGGCGACGGCAACGGCGACGGCGACGGCGACGGCGACGGCGACGGCGACGGCGACGGCGACGGCGACGGTGGCGGCAACGGCGACGGCGGCGACGACGACGACACCGACGACGACGTTGAACGCCGACGCCGACGGTGACGACCCCTTCGGTGATATGTGTGACGATGGTTTTTCGCTATTTTCGGCCTCTCTTGGCTCTCGCCGAACTAGGGAATACAGAGAAATGACTCGTCTTTAAAAATTGCCCCCTAGGGGAAATGTCGCATGCCTGGGAGGGGAGGGCCAGTTGCAACGCTAGTTGGCCTTGGGGGGGCTCCCTTATCGCCACGTCTGGACGCAGCTCGGAAAACTGTTGCGTTTAGACTTTAGACCCCCGGAGAGGTCCAAGGATCGATTGCGAGCTGCCGTTGTTTCAAATCGCACTTTTCCGAGACGAGGACGTCCGACGGCGGTGGCGATGGCGTCCTGTGCGTCCTGCGTCGAGGAGAGCAGGGTCTGGAAGGACCTCACCTTCAGCGGGTCCCTGCAGACGACGGGCGACAACCAGGGGAGGAAAAACATGTCGATATCTATGCCCTCGCTCGTTTTCGCCTTCTCGGGCCTCCTTGGGGAGTCTCCATCGCCACTATTGAATCTGTGCCAGGGGCCTGGTCAGAACGCACCTCGCCAGATTACCAGGGAGAAGCGGTGTGGGTCATGATTTATCGGCTGCCCCCAGGCAACACTGTGCTCTGGAGGGGCATCTCTCTGTTCACTATCCGAAGGGGGGGGACACTGCATTAGCATAACTTTTCGTGGGTCCGCGCGAATCTCTCGGATTGGCGCTGGACCCCCCAGCTCTGGCCTGCGGAGCAGTGCGCTGCCAGGGGGATCCGGCGTCGATCGGAGATAATTGCGCGGACTTCCGAAAGTTTGTGCGTGTATGCCGTTCTTTCTTCCCCTACCTGTGGACGGGTTCAAGGCTTTCGAGATGAGTCAGTTTCCTTTTGATAGGCACATCCTGAACCTGGAGCGGCTCGAGTTCGTGTGGCGCCCTCAGAAGGATGACGCCGATTATCGAAGACGCCTACGGCGAATCACCGCCGCCCCCTGCCCTCGTGGAAGCGCCTATGTGGCTGAGAGTTGGGCCAGAGCTTGGCCAAGCTGTCGGACCATGAGTTCCCCGAGTCGGTTTGGAAAGGTTTCGGGGAACGCGGGGGGGAGGAAGAGGAGGAGGAGGAGAAGGAGGAAAAAGGAAAAGGGGTAGGATGCCTCTTCGGAGCCTCTTGAGGCACTCGGCTCGATTGGGCCATCTTGGGACCGTCTTGGAGGCCATATTGGGGCTATCTTGGGTTCTCTTGGGGCCTCTTGAGGACCTCATGGGGCCCTTTTGGGGCTTCTCGGGGGCTTCTTTGGCCATCTTATGGCGTTCCTGGCCCGTCTGACGCCGTCGGGAGCCGTCTTGGGGGCCTTTCTGAACCGACTTGGGGCCCTCTTGGCGCGCTTCGGGTCCGTCTTGGAGGCCATCTTGGGCGTCTTGGAGGCCTCGTGGGCCGTCTTGGGGCCCTCTTGGGGCCTTCTTGAGGCTTCTGGGGCCGTCATGGGGCCATCTTGGAGGCCTCGTGAGCGATTTTGGGGCGATCTTGGGGGCCTCTTGGGCCGTCTGGAGCCGTCGGAAGGCCGAAAAGAAGCAAATGCCAAAATCCTTCAAAAACCTTAGGACAACCAATGATTTTGGCCTCTTCGGGCCCTCCTTGAGGACCTCTCGGAGGCGTCTTTGGGGGCTCTTGGGGGCCTCTTGGGCCGTCTTGAACCATTTTGAGGCTAGGCCGTCTTGGAGGCATCTTGGGCCATCTTGGAGGCATCTTGGGGCCATCTGAGCCGTCTTCGAGGCCATGTTGACCGTTTTGGAGGCGTCTTGGAGGCCATCTTGGGACGTCTTGCAGCCGTCTGGAGCAGGAAAAGCCCTTGGTAACTACCTCCGGACATCCTGGAAGATCTTTCCGGGTGGCCGGCGGGACGGGCCGAAGCCCCAGGGGGAAAAGGGCCCCAATAGGACTCCCAAGAAGGCCCAGAGAAGCCAAATAAAGAGCGATCGGTCACGCAAAAAGCTCTTCACACCAAGGCTCCCAAGAGCGAACGGTGACGTAAACAAGCTGATAAGACCAAGGCTCCCAGCAGGGAGCGGTGACGTAACAAGTTCTTGACACCAAGGCCCAGCCAAGGCTCATGAACGGGCGGCAACGCAACAATCTCTGAACACCACGGCTCCCAAGACCGAGGGGTGACGTAACAAGCTCTCAACGCCAAGGCTCCCAGTACGAACGGTGGTGTGAATCATTTCGGTCAAGATTCTGAAGCGCTCTTTCCGTTTCTGTGCCGGGCCCATGTAACGGAAAGAGCGAGGTACGAGTGATGATCTTTTGGTGTGGGCGAAGCCCTAAAGTGAGGGGATCCAGGGGAGGGGGGTAGGGCGGGGGAATGAGTGTTAATTGCCGTTTTCGGGTTCTCCCTCGGGTTTTTGCATGTTTTTCGGGTTCTCCCTTTTTCCGTCCCAGAAGTGCCCGAGACCGCCCAAGACAGCCCCAAGACGTCCCAAGAGGCCTCCCAGACGCCCCAAGATGCGCCCAAGAGGCGTCCCAAGAGGGCCCCAAGAGGCCAAACTCATTGATTTCCCTTCGGAAAACGTGCGTTTTTAGCATCTACGGCTTTTCGGCTTTCACGGCGTTGACGACGGCCCAAGAGGCCCCCAAGACCGCCCCAAGACGGCCCAAGAGGCTCCCAAGAGGCCCCCACAACGGCCCAAGAGGGCCCCCAGACGGCCCAAGAGGCGCCCGAGACGGCCCAAGAGGGCCCCAAGACGGCCCCAAGAGGGGGACCACGAACCGAAAAGTCTAGCCTTTCGCCCCAAGACGTTCCCAGGAGGCCCCAAGAGCCCCCCAAGAAGCCCCAAGGGGCCCCCAAGAGGCGTCCCAAGAGGCCACCAGGAGGCCACAATCATTGATTTCCAATGGGAAAGCGTATATTCATAGCATACACTGCTTTTCGGCTTTCACGGCGTTGACGACGGCCCAAGAGGCCCCCAAGACCGCCCCAAGACGGCCCAAGAGGCTCCCAAGAGGCCCCCACAACGGCCCAAGAGGGCCCCCAGACGGCCCAAGAGGCGCCCAAGACGGCCCAAGAGGGCCCCAAGACGGCCCCAAGAGGGGGACCACGAACCGAAAAGTCTAGCCTTTCGCCCCAAGAAGCTCCCAGGAGGCCCCCACAGACCCCCAAGAAGCCCCAAGAGGCCCCCAAGAGGCCCCCAAGAGGCCACCAGGAGGGCCCGAAAAGGGCCCCAATAGGACTCCCAAGAAGGCCCAGAGACGCCAAATAAAGAGCGATCGGTAACGCAAAAAGCTCTTCACACCAAGGCTCCCAAGAGCGAACGGTGACGTAAACAAGCTGATAAGACCAAGGCTCCCAGCAGAGGCCCAGCCAAGGCTCAGGAACGGGCGGCAACGCAACAATCTCTGAACACCACGGCTCCCAAGACCGCGGGGTGACGTAACAAGCTCTCAACGCCAAGGCTCCCAGTACGAACGGTGGTGTGAGTAATTTCGGTTCCTGCTTCTGAAGCGCTCTTTCCGTTTCTGTGCCGGGCCAGGTAACGGAAAGAGCGAGGTACGAGTGATGACGTTGCGTGTTGGGCGAAGCCCCTTAAGGGTGAGTTCCAGGGGGGGCGTACGGGGAGCGGATTGGCTCTAATGGCAGTTTCGTTTTTCTTTGTTCACAGGGTTTTTGCAGGCTTTTCTGATTTTTCTTTTTTTTAAGAGCCCAAGACCGCCCAAGGCCGCCCAAGACGTCCCAAGAGGCCCCCAAGAGGCCCCCAAGAGGCGCCCAAGGGGCGTCCCAAGAGGGCCCCAGGAGGCCCAAATCATAGATTTTCTAGAGGAAAGCGTCTATTTTTGGCATCTACGGTTTTTCGCCTTTTCACGGCGCGGACGACGGCCCAAGAGGGTCCCAAGACCGCCCCAAGACGGCCCAGGAGGCTCCCAAGAGGCCCCCCAAACGGCCCCAGAGGGCCCCCACACGGCCCAAGAGGCGCCCAAGACGGCCCAAGAGGGCCCCAAGACGGCCCCGAGGGGGGGACCACGAACCGAAACGTCTAGCCTATCGTCCCAAGACGCTCCCAGGAGGCCCCAAGAGCCCCCCAAGAAGCCCCAAGGGGCCCCCAAGAGGCGTCCCACGAGGCCAACAGGAGGCCCAAATCATCGATTTCCAATGGGAAAGCGTATATTTATAGCATACACTGCTTTTCGGCTTTCACGGCGTTGACGACGGCCCAAGAGGCCTCCAAGACCGCCCCAAGACGGCCCAGGAGGCTCCCAAGAGGCCCCCACAACGGCCCAAGAGGGCCCCCAGACGGCCCAAGAGGCGCCCAAGACGGCCCAAGAGGGCCCCAAGACGGCCCCAAGAGGGGGACCACGAACCCAACAGTCTAGCCTTTCGCCTAAAGACGCTCCCGGGGGCCCCCACAGACCCCCAAGAAGCCCCAAGAGGCCCCCAAGAGGCCCCCAAGAGGCCACCAGGAGGGCCCGAAAAGGGCCCCAATAGGACTTTCAAGAAGGCCCAGAGACGCCAAGAGCGAACGGTAATGCAAAAAGCTCTTCACACCAAGGCTCCCAAGAGCGAACGGTGACGCAACCAAGCTGATAAGACCCAGGCTCCCAGCAGAGAGCGGTGACGTAACAAGTTTCTGACACCAAGGCCCAGCCGAGGCTCAGGAACGGGCGGCAACGCAACCATCTCTGAACCCCAAGGCTCCCAAGAGCGAGGGGTGACGTAACCAGCTCTCAACGCTAAGGCTCCCGATACGAACGGTGGTGTGCGTAGTTTCGGTTTCTGTTGCTGCAGCGCTCTTTCCGTTTCTGTGCCGGGCCAGGTCTAATGGCCTTCGGCCCACCTCGCCACCGTGCTTGGGTTGTGGGTATGAAGTCTATTGGATGTTCGTTGGTATCTCGTCCGAGGCTTCTCGGGGGCCTCTTGGAGACGGTTTGGACGCCTCTTGGGGGCCGTTTAGGGGCCTCTTGGAGCCTCTTGGGAGCCTCTCGGGAGCTTGGCGAGTCTTGGGGCCTCCTGGGGGCCTCTTGGGGCGGAAGGCTCGAATTTTCGGTTCGTGTTCCCTTCCTGGGGCTCTTTTTGGAGCCGTCTTGGGGCCCTCTTGGGCCGTCTTCGGCTCCTCTTGGGCCGTCTTGGGGTCCTCTTGGGCCGTTTTGGGGCCCTCTTGGAGGCCTCTTGGGCCGTCTTGGGGTGGTCTTGGGGGCCTCTAGGGCCGCTTGGCAGTGTCGGGAGGCCGAGAAGTCGAGAACGCCCAAATCTTTTAAACACCTAAAGACAGTTGATGATTTTGGCCTCTTGGGGCCCTCTTGGGTGGCCTCTTGGAGGCCTCTTTGGGCGTCTTTGAGGCCTCTCGGGCCGTCTGGGGGCCATCTGGGGCGTCTTGGAGCGATCGTTCGGCGACTCGATGCCGTGGGGCTCGGAACCCTTTAAGAACTCCTCAGAAGTGAGAACTCCTCTGGAGTGAGAACTGAGAACTCCTCACGCGTGTAGTGAGAGGACCGAAGTGTGCTCAGCGGCACGGTGGCGGATTACAAATCGATGAAACTGGCCTGCCTCACTGTGGAAACTTCGTCTATGCTGCCAGAGTGGCATGTGAAAAAGGCGTATGTGAGGGCGCTGAACGTCCAGGATCCTCCTGATAGAAAAAGCCATGCCGTCGAAAAACTGGAGTCAAGGTGTGCCTGGTCCCACGCGAGCAAGTTCACAGTGCAGCTGCGCATCGAACGGAAGGCGAGATTTTACTGCTGGCAGGTATTTGTTGTGACGTATCTCATCACGATGCTATCTTGCACTCCGCTCGGCATGGACCCGTCGGCAGTCGGAGACCGGCTTGCAATCTTCGTAGGCGGCATGCTGACTTTGGTGGCCTTCAAATACGGAGTCTCTGACCATCTGCCGAGCGTGCCGTACCAGACTTTTACTGACAAGTTCCTGCTGGCTCAGATCATGACTGTTTTCTGCTGCGGCATCCTATCAATCGTGAGCTACAGAATTTTGTACATCTTCCCAGAGCTGCATGTCTGGATAGACTGGTTGGAGAATATCATCGGCTTCAGTTTGTTTTTCGCCTGGACAATTGTGCTTGGTACGTCGAGCTTGCTGAAAGACTCGTGGAGGGATGCGAAAGACTCGTGGAAGTCGATTGGAAAGCGCGACGTGGAGGGCATGGACGAGTGGAGGCGAGAGGAGGAGAGTCGCCTATCCGCCGGGAACGCACTAGAGTCCGCCCTGCCCTCGGACGCGTCGACTTGCGTGTCCGAGGAGGAGTTCAGGAAGCTGGGCCTGACGCAGGAGCAGCGCGAGCGCATCATGGACTGGCACGCGCGCGGCCTCCTGGGGCCCACGGCGCAAGACGCCAAGCTCCTCGAGGGGACCCCCGTTCGGGCCGCAGGCCAGGTCTGAACGCCGCCTCCAAGAGCATCCAAGGATCGGCCACGCGCAGGGGAGGGCGTGGGGGAGGGGGGACTGGTTTGTAGGAGTGCTTCTGCTTCTCAGAATGCGCGGGCCTTGTCTGTAGATGCAGGGCTGGCGCCTTCTAAGAAGCAGCCTTCTTCTAATAAGCGTTCCTCCCCCTACCCCCTTGTGCGTGCCGCCGAAAGGAGCAGTCAGAGACCCGATGGACTTCGACATCGACCACGGTCTTCAGGTGAGCTACGCAGAAACCCGGTTTCGGGGGCGCGGACATTCGCGCGTAAGCTGCCCGCGTAAGGTCGCGCGTGAGCGCCCTCGTTTCCACTGTAGCGTGCTGAGCTGGCGGCCCGCGTAGGCCACCGCGTAAGGTCGGTATGCCACACTGCGTAAGACCCGTTTCCATTCGCGTCTCGTCGGGGAAGATGACAATGACGACGACGATGACGACGACGATGACGACGACGACGATGACGACGATGACGACGACGACGACGTTGACGATGACATAAATACACGGTGGGGGCGCTCGTTGAGGAGTGTGCCATGGGAGGCTGCTGGCCCAGGAGGGCTCCTTGTCTGAGGAGGGCGGCGGTGATGTTTATAGCCGATCCACGGCTGGAGTTCCACAGGCATCGTGCTCCTGATCCAATGACTCCTTCTCTAATGCCCTCCCCGTGAAGTCTGCTTTTGCACCTGCTTCTTGTTCCTCGAGCTCGCTTCGGCCACGCGCCTCGCGCCCGCGTGGTGCCTCCGGTGCGCGGCAGCCGCGAGGATCCGAGAGATCCGAGTCGCCGAACAACGTTGGAGCGGCCGGTTTTTGACCGCTTTCGGCTTCCGTGGGCCTTCGACGGGCCCCAGGACCGTCAACATCCGAGGGGGAAAATAGATGCAGACCCACATCAACGCGGAGTTCTGCGAAGATACGGGAAAACATTGGAAAGGGAGGAGAAGACGGAGATGCAGGAAACATGCTGACAACTATTTGGTATCCATGGGATTTGTTTATTTTGTTTGTGCTTGTACAGCAATCGACTCAGGATGAAAAGCCGGCCCCAGGGAAATGGACCAGACATCTGGGGGTCCACGCACCGAGCAAAACAGATTGGGTGGGCCGAGTGTCTGGGCTCGCGCCTGCGTGGCGCTCCAGTCGGCTGCACGTCAGAGGGGCCTTTCGCCTCTGGCGACCTGTGGTGCGGGCTCCTCCTCCTCCTCCTCCTTTTCCTCCTCCTCCCTCCCTCCTATTCTCCTCCTCCTCCTCCTCCTCCTCCTCCTCCTCCTCCTCCTCCTCCTCCTCCTCCTCCTCCTCCCCCTCCTCCTCCTCCTCCTCCTCCTTCTCCCCCTCCTCCTCCTCCTCCTCCTCCGTCAGTTTGTTCAGGTGGGCGACGGAGGAAAGCGAGGCCGTCTGCGCTGACATTGGCGCGTAAGCTGCCCGCGTAAGCTCTCGCGTCAGCGCCCTCGTCTCCAATGCGGCGCGCCGCGCCGGCGGCCCGCGCAAGCCACCGCGCAGGGTCGACAGCGTCGTCTCGCGTGAGACCCGGTTTTGACCCTCGCCCATTTGGGTCCCCCCGAGGGCTTCTTGCGATGCTCGGGCTTCTGCCCCCCCCGCGCCCCCCGAGCGTCGCGCACCCACTGTGTCGCCCCTGCCCAGGGCCGCTCCGGCGTGGATAGCCGGCTCTCGGCGGCGCGCCCCGGGGGGGGGGGGGGAAGGCGAGATGGGGGTAGGCCCTCTCAGAATGCGGCGGGGCTTCTGGGAAGGCCCTCCGAGCCTTCCGAGCATCCCGACGAGGCCCGCCTCCCAGGGCTCATTTCGCTTCCCCCGGTTGGACTCGATTCGGTTCGGTTTCTCCGATTCCGATTCGATTCGATTTTGGATTCCGATTCGGGCTCCGGTCTCTTCTCTGAGTCCCACTAGCCTGCCGCTTTCTGCCGATTCGACTTTTCTGATTCGGCTGTCGATTTCCGCCGATCCGCTTCGTTTCGATCGCCGATCCGACTCATCGATTCGAGTCTGGGCCCTCTTGCCTCGAGGAGCATCCTGGATCATCGAGCGACAGAAAAACACGCACGAAGCCGAAGCTTGCGCGAGGACTGGGCGTCCGAGCGACGGCGGGTTTGGCACTGCCCCCGGCCCAGGGGGCGCGAAGGCGATGAGGCCGAGCCTTTCCTTTCCCCGAGCAGCCAGCCGCTCCAGTCTCTTCTCGAGACGTGGGCCCCTGGAGGCCTGGGCCGCTTCCTTTTTTTTTTTTGTTTGTTGTTGTTGTTGTTGTTGTGGTTGTTGTTGTTGTTATTGTTGTTGTTGTTGTTGTTTCTGTTGCCGTTGTTGTTGTTCTGTTATCGTTGTTGTTGTTGTTGGTGTTGTTATTGTTGTTGTTATGATTGTTGTTGTTGTTGTCGTTGTTGTTGTTGCTGCTGTTGTTGTTGTTGTTGTTGCTGCTGCTGCTGTTGTTGCTGTTGTCGTCGTTTTTGTTGTTCCTTTTTCTGTTTTTGTTGTTTTTTTGTGTTTTTTGTTGCGTGTTTTGGTGTGATTATATATGCATGCATATGCATATATATGCATATATGTATATATACACATATGTATATTTATATAGGTATATTCATTCCGACTTGTATATTCATTATGATAAGCCCCCATCCCTGTGATCCATCTATGTCTTCTGTTTGTCTAGCAGTGTGATGCAGCACGCTCCTAACTTAGTCAAAAGCCTTTGTCGGACAAGCCTACAGGCCGAATTAATTCGACCAGCCGCATCAGAGCATCTCGCCCGTCTTCAGACACAGATCTTGGCCGATATGCCAGTTGCACCATTGTGCAGAGCGCACTCGATCATCACATTGTTTTTTTCGGATGACCCAGCTGCTGACGTCGAGCGGACGTGCTCTCGTACGTGTCTCCTGCAGACGCGGTCTGTAGCATGCGTGCCGCCTTTCGTGTGGACAACTTGGTCATCGATCTCGTGCGAGAATAGTTGCACATACTTTGGGCGCATGGTTTGCCCATTGTGACGCTTCGTAGGTTTGTGGACCACATCATCGTGGATCGCTCCATGCGAGTGCCTCTTCCGATTGGCTCCAAGCTTGTACGACCGAGCGCCATATGTATGCAGAAACACGTCGGTCTTCTAGTCACCTCTTGGCCATCGGCGTCCAATCCGTCTTTCTGATTGGGCCAGGGCCTGGCGCTCTGATCTTTGTGAATTTGGGCTTGGTGCGGGTCTTTGGGCGACCCCGCTCCACGATCCCCGCCCGCTGGTACCACTTCAACTTCTTCACTTTCTTCACCAGGATCATCTCCTTACCCACGTCGACCTCATCGGCCTCCACGTCGTGCCACTGAAACTTCGACGAGTTCCCGAAGCAAATGTGCTTTTCGCGGGAGAGGACGAACCGCGCTCTGCACGGGCCCGGCATCTTGGACATGGAACTGGTTAAAACTGGCAGGTAGTCCTGCCAGTTTTTGAACCCCAGCACGAGGCCGAATAGTATCTTCACCTGGTTGCGATGCGGCTCGAAGTCTTGACCCCAACCAGGTGGAAATATTGGATGCTTGGCGTGTGGCAGTATATACTCGTGGCGCTCCGCCGCCCTGCATCGGTAAGCCCAGGAGCCCCCGCCCCGCCTCTGAAGCGGCGACGCGTATCCCGCCGAACAGTGAGGGTACTTGAAGTTTGTCCAGTCCTTCAGAAAACCATCCACTGTCAGCTGAGTGATCAATGCCTTCTGGCCCATGCTCGCGATCTTGTTCGTGTCCCGCGTCCACTGTGCGCGATGCTGACGATGGCGCTTGGTGTTGCCATTGCGAGCGTAAGGCGTTTTCGTCCAACGAGCTGAATATTTATTTCTTTTTCCCAACCAACCTGTGTTGTTGGGTCCTCGTTTTGAAGAGACGGTGCCCCGCGTCTCCTCTCCTCCTCTCCTCCTCCGCCTCCTCTCCCCTCCTATCATCCTCTCCTCCTCTCCTCTCCTCTTCACCCACCCAGTACACTGTTTCGTGGCTCCATAGGGAGCTCCACCGAAGGCCCCAGTGCCCGCGCCCGCATGCGTCACCCACACCCATTTCGGCACACCCCTCACACGTTTCGTGGCTCCATAGGGAGCTCCACCGAAGGCCCCAGTGCCCGCGCCCGCATGCGTCACCCACACCCATTTCGGCACACCCCTCACACGTTTCGTGGCTCCATAGGGAGCTCCACCGAAGGCCCCAGTGCCCGCGCCCGCATGCGTCACCCACACCCATTTCGGCACACCCCTCACACGTTTCGTGGCTCCATAGGGAGCTCCACCGAAGGCCCCAGTGCCCGCGCCCGCATGCGTCACCCACACCCATTTCGGCACACCCCTCACACGTTTCGTGGCTCCATAGGGAGCTCCACCGAAGGCCCCAGTGCCCGCGCCCGCATGCGTCACCCACACCCATTTCGGCACACCCCTCACACGTTTCGTGGCTCCATAGGGAGCTCCACCGAAGGCCCCAGTGCCCGCGCCCGCATGCGTCACCCACACCCATTTCGGCACACCCCTCACACGTTTCGTGGCTCCATAGGGAGCTCCACCGAAGGCCCCAGTATGCGAGCTCACACCGCTCCAAGGCCCCAGTGCCCGCGCCCGCATGCGTCACCCACACCCATTCGGCGCACCCCTCACACGTTTCGTGGCTCCATAGGGAGCTCCGCCGAAGGCCCCAGTGCCCGCGCCCGCATGCGTCACAGACATCCATTTCGGCACACCCCTCACACGTTTCGTGGCTCCATAGGGAGCTCCACCGAAGGCCCCAGTGCCCGCGCCCTCATGCGTCACCCACACCCATTTCGGCACATCCCTCACACGTTTCGTGGCACCATAGGGAGCTCCACCGAAGGCCCCAGTGCTGCCGCCCGCATGCGTCACCCACATCCAATTCGGCACACCCCTCACACGTTTCGTGGCCCCATAGGAGGTCCGCCGAAGGCCCCAGTGCTGCCGCCCGCATGCGTCACCCACACCCATTTCGG